CCCCCCGCATCCCCGCAGCCATCTATGATCGTCGACGGGGTCGGCCGCCAATTTTTCCTCCTACTCTCCGCTTCGATTAATATCTTGTAAGCTTAATGAAAATATCTCGTGTATTCTGTGATAATTATCCCTTAAAGAACACACTACACCCTACATCTACACGCACGAAAAGACACACACATACACACATAAACGCAGGAAGACACGGCGGGAGGAAAATTTTACGGAGACAGACGTAAAACTTAACTACGCATTTACACTGATCTCAATAGCGCAACAGTACTTTTCTCTTTTAAATGACACATACACACACACACACACACAACCACACATACACAAACATATATTTCTATTTCTCTGTAATCATTAAAAACGTCCGAGGAGTCTCGTCGGGATGAAGATAATTAACGGAGATGCGTGATAGAGTGATCCAGGCTCGCCTCACTTCCTCTCATCTACCGATCCTGTGACTAATTCGGAGTCGGGATTATTATACATTCTTCTCCCCCTCCCCACCCCCTTATAGCGCGAATTCTCGATCCTTTTCCACGACTTTTTCATGTTACCGTACGTATCTAAGCCTCTCGAATAAAGAGACTCTCTACGCTGTTGAAAGTAAAGTCCATTTCGATTTGAATAAAGATCAAGACTCTCTGTCGTCTTCTCTATTATTATTTGTCGGAACTCCTAGATTCTCTCAACCGGCCGTCTCGCGAACTCGACAAGTAGATTTCTCGCCAGCCTCGACGTTCTCGAGTCGGGACGTGTGCAAAAGTCCGCTCGAATTAATCAGAGAGTCCGTAGATGGAGCGCACGGAAAAATCTGAGACACCCTGCGGACCACGATAACATGAAGATAAGGAAGCGCGACTTCTTTAATCATCACGCCTCGGTAGGCGACCGATTTCACCAACCGCCAAGAGTGTCGAGAGGAAGGAAGACCGTGCCGAGGAAGATGTCCGAAGGGACTTGTCGGCAGAGGCGAGTTCGTTTCACATGCCGAATAGAAGAGAAGATCATCCCCGAGAGATCACCGCGAATCCTCGCTGACGAAAGCGAGAACGGGGTCACGAGATCGAAGCCGGACTGCGATACACCGGCCATCGTGTAACAACCGAGAGACGCGGGTCTCACTGGAAGGTGGCAGAGTGAGGAATCGCTTAGCGCGAATAGAAACTAAGGTGTGACAAAGAGAAAGATAAGGGGGAAGAAAAAACGAACAAATGGACGAGACAAACACAACCGTTGACAATACTATGCTTGAGAATCGTGTGAGACGCGCGTGTGTAATGTACTTAATGAACATAGAAAACCACAGAGAAATGGGACACTTGTCGCGTTTCTCGTAAGGTTACAAAACGTACCAAAAGTAAAAGCCCGTGGACGCGGAAGGACGTCACTTCGCCGCGTGTTTATCGGGTGATGATTACGCGATAACGAGCGAAGAAAAGCCGACACGGCACGTTCCCAACCGGGGGAGCGCGAGTCGCAGTAATATTGCCGTCGTGAACATTTTTCAAGCCGCTAGTAGAAAGACCGGGAGAAGGCACAGAGGGAGTTTCGGCAGGTGCGATGACGATTTTAAGCACGATGGCGAAGATCCAAAGCAATTGTATCCGAGTATCAAACACGCACATTCGACAGAAAGAGAATTAACCCGTTTACCGTGAGCCAGATCTCCGTTAGCGTATCGTTTCGTTCGTTCAACTCGCGCGACGAATTATTCACCGGCGAACTGGATGCGTATACACACCGTACAGAATACACAGCATGCAAAGCACACGTGTGTGCACGGAGAAAACAAAATTTCAGCTCGTGTGCTACCGCGAATGGGGACCGGACGAAGAACTCGCTGACAGCAAGTAATAAATCTCTCTTACCGTGACCGAAAGTTTAGGTCTGAACATGCAGTTGCGTTAAAACTCGGTTGAAGTCACTAAGAATAATTGGTTGAGTAGGGCCCGTATTAATAGTTGTTACTTGAAACTTGCCTCAAGTGAGATACTCAGATGTAAATTTTTAGTTGAATTGCGATTACGAATATTGTGTCGCGTATGAAGTGGCACGGTAATGCCACTTCATGGCATTACCGCATATATACATGCTCACGACGCCAAATATATAAAAAAACGTTCATCCAATATGATTAAAATAATATTTTATTTAGAATTAGAGTATTCTCTAATTCCAAATTCAAATCTGTGTATCTCACGTGAGACAAGTTTCAAGACTATTAATACGGGTTCTATAGTTGGATTTGAGTTTTTCACTTGAATCACACGATGTGTGACATTACATTTGTAGTCGCGATTAAACTGAAAGATTCAAATCTAATTCTAAATTTAAATCTCAGTATCTCAGAGACAGATTTCAAGTAACAACTATTAATATTGGTCTAGAAAGCTGAGTAAAGGAAAACTCGTTTATATATAAGAACAGAAACATTCCTGCCTCCTGCAGGGATCTTCCTGTTCCTACAACGTAAAAGTTTCGTTTGGTCCCCAAGTAACAGAAAATCCAGCTACACTAACAGATTTGTTTCCTCCATGTGACTCCGCACTTGAACGCAAGGAAACGACATCCACTCACTTATATCTATACTCACACGTACACACACATGTACACACGATCCAAGCTCCGAACGTGCGCGTCGTTAACGTTCCTCATCCCGCAAACAGCGGATCATCGTCGCATCATAATCGCGTCACACACGACGACGGGCTACACCCGGCGCAAGAAACCGTTCAGCTTCAGATTCAGATTCCGGGCT